AAAAGACATTTGGCTAAAGTATTGACGAAGCCCGCCAACATAATACTAATTTTTATTACTACGTACGCATGCACGTACGCACTAAAAACGGAATAGTAATTATACCACATGCTTTATCTTCGTCATTAAATTACGTAAACTAAAGTTTATTGTGTTGTCTCGTGCCCAAACGACAAAGTATATTAAGAAATGTCATTCTTCTTTCCCCTCTTTTTATCTACTCTTACCTACTTCCACGTTGTTATGATCTTTCATTAAACATTTCATACCTAATTCTTATTCCTTACATTTCATACCTAATTCTTATTCCTTTCTATTCAAATAATAATAATAAAGATGAGCACCATTACACATCCAAATAATTTTACATTGCCTGAAATTCCAATATCTGATAATAATGTACTTCCATATATCATTATTGGCTGTGTAGCAGTTGCTTCCATCGGTATTCATTATATTTTAACATATATTCTGAGAAGAGTTGCAATGAATACTGGGTGGACTTTTGATCATGAAATTATTAAGCATTGGTAAGTTAAATGCGCGAACCTGATCCAATATTAGATTAAAATTTTTTAGCGTCAAGAAATTCGACCTGTTCATTAAATTAGTCATCTAAATCTAAAAAAAAATTTATTATATTTTAAAACAGTTCAAGACCGACTCTTTTCATGTTTCCGGTTATAGCTATTCTTATAACTGTCTCATTTCTCCCAAATGCTGACCAAAACATAATTGATCCACTTCGTCACATTTTAGTAATATTTTTAATAATCTTTGTTACGTGGGCTGCTTTTGGTTTTGTAAAAGCTTCTTCAATTACCATAGCCAGAAGCCAATTATTCAGATCCCGAAAATCTCAGACCCAAATCTTAGTGACCACTAGAGTTGCTTATGGTCTAGTTGGTTGCTTAGGTGCTGCTTGTATAATTTTAACTTTCCCACAAGGTTGGGAACTTGGAGCAAGTTTATTGGCCAGCGCTAGCGTTACCGCGTTATTCATTGGGCTTGCCGCAAAACCTTCTTTAGAGGTGAACTTACAATATAATCTAAATTAACTTTCAAAAAGTCTTAAAACATCACGCTAATTTTAATTTATCAAAATGTTGCTTGATTAGAATTTGGTAGCATCTTTGCAACTTGCTTTGACTCAACCTCTATTATTGGATGATTATGTCGTTATAGATGGTTTTGCTGGAACTGTTGGTATGTACAAATAACTTTATTTTATTGAATACATTAATACTTATGATTAATTTTATAATGTATATATATGCTCATTATTATTACTTTATTATTTTAAGAGGAAATCCAATCTCAATTTATAGTATTGAGAAGTTTAGAAGAAAGACGATTTATAATCCCTTTATCTCGTGTAACTACTTATACTTTTCAAAATTGGTCCCGCACAACTGAGAGCATATCCGTATCATTTAATTTATTTGTTGATTATGGTATTCCACTTGAAGATTTGAGACATCAATTTTTTAGCATTGTGGGAAAAAGTGATCGTTGGGATAGAAGAGATGCTTCTTTAAATGTATGTATACAACGTTTTACTCCATTGAAAAATTTATGATTAGAATAACAATTAAATTTCGTTCTTTAAAATATTTGTAGATTTCGGAAGCTAGAGAAAATTCTTTGGTGTTGTCAGGTGTTGTAAGCTGTACGTACATATTAATTTATTATTCTTATACTGTATTATATGCGTTTTGTTATACATATTTATTGAATTAATTTTAAATATTTTAAATATTTATGAATTGTTAAACTAGCCGTAAATATACATAAGGCTCGCGTATTAAAAACTCAAATCCAAGAAAAATTGGTAGGCTTTAATTTTTTATTATTAAAAATTTGGAATTTTTAATACTTTTATTCATTATATACATTATGATATAAAATTCAGATTGAATACATAATGACTACATATCCACAATATCTTCCTCGAATTCGAAACGAGTCAATACAATCACGAAATGGAATTGATAGCATGAAAAAAGTTATTCCAAAAATGGATGAGGCAATTATTTTATAATTAGGTTGCAATGTTAATAATATAATTCAATTTGGTCAATTTGGTTAGGTTTATTATATGTTTACCTTTTTTTATCTTGTTACAATTTTGGCATTTGTTGTATTTATTCATTGTTTATGTAGTTATTTATTTATATCATGGCATCCTATTTTTCTTGGTTTAAATGTATTTTATTGAAATAAAAACCTGTTGAAGTTTTTTTTTTAAAAAAAAAACAAACGGTCGAGTTTTTTTCTTTTTGGCGTTCTAATTTGATGCATCATATATAGTAATTTTCATTTCAAAGTAATCGTAATGCATAAACTTAACCTTTATTTATTAAATCTCGTGTTATCATGTAAGCATTCTTAACAAGAATCGACCTCTTTTAGTTAGATTGAGTATCTATTCTTAGCGAAAATAAGTGCTATAAAAAGTTTCGTTAATTCGAAAACGTTTTTATTATAGTCTCTTTATTGTTAAATGTTAACGGAAAAATGGAATGTGAGCTCTTTCTCTTGACGAAGCTTTTGCTTTAAACAAATATCTGTATTATCTATGTTATTTGACCTTTTTACAAGTGCCTGGCTTTGGCTTTTTTCTCTATTTTCTGAATATTTGATATTTTTGTTATTTATTGCACTGAATTTTTTATTAGTTAATAATCAAATACATTCGACGATCACCTCTAAATACTTGTAGGTAATTATTTGGGTGACGTCAAAGGAAAACCAGACTTGTCATAATAAATATATAATCGAAGCCTGGTATCACCCTTTTATAATATATACAGATTGATAACAGATTAATAAAATCCTCTACGATAAAAATTATGTAGGACTCATAAACAAGAATAATAATGAACTTAATCCACTTACTCTTTATAGGCGAATACAATTATATTTATTTGGATTTTTATTATCAAAATTTTTTCTAAACTATTATTTTTAATAACATTTTACGTTCTTCCAAAATTACATAAACTCGATATTAAAGTCATTTTTATTCTTTGGTATTCCCTTATTCTGCTTGGTTACCCCTGAACATTTTAGAACTAGTTTAATAAATCCCCCTAATAATTAATGATTCTTACTAAACTTTAGAATTTGGATCCCAATTGAAAAATGGTAATCTGAACCAATTGATTAAATAATATGTATTTTCAAACTGGTTTAATGGCCAATTTAATTTACAATTTACCCACACCCTCGTAATTCATTATCCTATATGATATTGTTCCTTTTATGAATTACTTAATCTTATCATAAAATTTCTTTAATCTGTACTCTGTATTAAATTTTTTTTCGTATATTATTTAAATTCTATTGTTTATCTTAAACTTTATTTATTATTTATTCTTATTTTTTATCACATCATTTCATCTCTTAAAGCACCCTTTAATGTAACATTATCCTAGCATTTAACTTATATTGTTTAATCTCCAATCTAAATCTGGCTTAGTTCTCCCGATCAGATATTATCGCAGATTATAATAAAATCAAATTAAAATAAAATCCACATATATATTTTTTTTTATTAATAATCCCAACTAATTTGTATGGCGTAATCTATTAGTCATCAGGAATTTCACACAGTTCGAGAGGTTTACTGATATATATATATTATCCGGATGTTTTGATAGTTCAATGTTAGGTTTAATCTTATCGGCTTCTAAAAATTGGTTCTTTGT